CAAGCCAACTCTAAAGTGCATTAGTATTGTTGGCACATTAGTTGGTCCATCATTGTTTGGCCTGGTATCACTTACCACCATTCTCTCTATGCTGAAACACCCATTTCTTTCTACTAGCTTTGTCATCTCTTTGGGAGAGGTAGTATACAAAGGCAAATTGAAGGAGTCCACTTCATCTTCATTGATCATTCCCTGGCACAAAGATTAACATTAATGTCTTGGCCTTGGAGGTCCACTCTCTTAATCTCACTCAAGTAACATTAAAATAGGACACAAATTTATGAAAGATATAAAGATTCATTATGCATTTTAGTTCAAAAATATTCCTACGAATTTAATAGAACAAGATGGGAAGTCGTAATTTATTTATTTATTTTTCAATTGAGTTCAAAATTAAGAAAAAAAGTAGAACACATTTTTGGAAATTCTTTTTTTTTTTATTTCTTCTAATTTTATTTTATTCTCTTTCTTTATATATATATAAGAATATATGAAAATTTTAATTGGAAATTCACTTTGAATCCCATTGAGAGCTTGAAATTATTGTGAAAGCTTCTATCTATTTATAAGTTTAAGAAATTCCAAAAAAAACTCGAAAAATTCATGTGGGATTCATTCAAATGCATTAGAGGGAGACTTGAAATTTTGATATCCCTCCAAAATTTTTGCTCTTCTTTCAATCAAATTATTTGAATTAAAATCATATGGAGGGAATGTTGAATATTTGATTTCTTCTTCCAAAATTAAAATTAATAATATTTTAAAATATATTATTATATTTTTCAATAAAAAAAATATTAGGAGATATATTTAAGATAATTAAATATTTTTAATTTATAATTTTATTACTTATATTTTTATTTAAATATAATTTTAACATATTTATTACGTCACGGTTCGATTCCGGTTCAACCCTACGGTTGAAATGGTGACCCGTCCACTCGATCCCTTTTCCGATTTGCTCACCGGTTCGATTTTTAAAACATTGATCCTAAGTATATGTTCAGACTTCTTGTCCAAACATTAACCTCCTTTATTGAATAATACATAAGTTTGACTCACCAATTTCACCATATCAAGGAGACTCTGGTTGAAAGCATTAAAAAGAGGACGAAATGGGTCCTAAGAATATTGAACGCCATCAGCGAGACTTGGGATGATCAATATCATCATTCCTCCAACTATAATCTCATCAGCTCTAGCATTGAAAAAGGTATCCATGTCCTTTGCAAATTGAGCTGCATAAACATTAGCGATTTCTTTCGAGGCAATTGTATAATGAATCTTTCCCTTGTTCCATGCAAGAGAGCCATTGTCCAACAACTCTTCTGGTACCTTTAGAGAGCCAATGGAGTGCAAAAGAGGAATACATCAAATGGATAGAAGACTTGGGGAATAACCGACCGTAGAAAGAGCCTGGCACTCCAGCAGCAAAGTATTGCCTATCAGGAGGCAAAGTAGTGAAAAGAGTGTTGAAATCATTGGCATCTCAGTTGTGAGATTTTTTTAATGGTATTCCATTCAATGGCTTCTAGGATACTTTTCATAGCATTGAAAGTGTTTGGCCCAACAGAACAATCCAAATCTGCAATTCTAATAGTATTTGAACTAAAACTAAGGCTTGTTATGTCAAACTTCTTAGCAATTGCCTCTATGATCATTTCCTTTACAACATTTATGGCATCACCCTGCAAAAATAGACCAAATTTATATGTATTATTGTTGCCATCATCACTACAAAAAAGGATTCAAAATATTTAATTTGAATTAAGATATAATCTTAATTAAGATATAGATATTTAATGAGTAATAGATTCAATCGTTTAGAAAATCAGTTAAATAGATTAAATTTTCTTTTATCTGTTGCATGTCGGACAATCCGTAGTAACTTGCTAGCATTAAGGTGTAAATAACCTTAGAAAAGGCATGTGTAGAATTTCAAAAAGGAGTTTTACAAGATTTATTAATAAATTAGTCCGCATTTGGAAGCATAGTGGACTTAAAATTAAATAATTTAAAAATATAATAATAAACAAGACTATTGTTAAAATTATAAATCAATAATTGTAATTACAAATTTTGATTAAAAAAAAAATCATGATACAACAAAACTTAAGGGGCAAGTGTATAATAGACAAAACCTTAATGGCATGTTTGATTGGAAGGATTAGAGCATGGGATTGGGATTATTAATCCGCGGGCTCAATTATCCTATGTTTGTTTTGACATTTTGTTTTAGGATTATCAATCCAATGGATAATTAATTCAATAAATTTGTAGGATTATTAGTAATGGGGTAGGGGTGGGATTATGAATACCACACTAATTTGATTGGATTATTAATACCTCACTATTAGTCTTGTGGAATCAAACATGGCCTAAAAATGTTATAAGGATCGAATTGGAACAAATCAAAAAGTTGAAATTGATGAAATTCAAGTACAAGTACAAGTACTAATCTAAAACTTTGAAGAAATTAGGAGGACCGTTGATGTAATTGGCCATTTTCTTTTCTAATATTAGTTCAAGACTATAATGAAATTTGGAGATCATCACTTCTCATCATAATGGGAGGAACTCCTACAAAAAAGTTTAGTATTTTAGGGAGTCATGTGTCATTTTAATTGGTGTTGCAAGTTTTGGTTGAGATTCATACCAATCTTTGTTCACACACAAAAAATTCATTAATATGAATCTAATTTGATAAATGTTCATGAAAAATTTTACATATATCAATTTTTTTCAAAAACACAAGGCCTCTCCCAAACTCAAACCATTTACAAGAGGGAGCTAAATAAACAGAGCATGATATATATATATATATATATATATATATTTTAAGAGAATCTTGTAATGAAATTTATTTCTTTACATCTTTAGTTTGGTGAAAATTTTCACAATAATGATTTGATTATTATTATTCAACCAAAGAGATATATATAAAATAAAATAAGTACCTGATATCGAGAATTTTTGGAATAGCTGTTGGCTCCGTCTCCACCATTCATTGGAAACTCAAGGTTGCCACTCATCTTTCTCTCTCTTTCTCAGTATAGGTTTGTTGGGCTGGGAGTCTTTTGCTTTACAGACAGTTGGTCAACACTTCCGTCTCAAAATCATTTTTTTTTTTTAGAAAATCTAACTTTTTTTTAATAGTGTAATTATTACACTTTAAAAATATTAATATTTCAAAAGGAAAATGAGTTGGACCCCTCAAGGAGGCACCCTCTTTGACCCCTTCTCTTTCTGATTGGCCAGTTTTTCTTTTTTCTTTTTCTTTTCTTCCTTCTCCTCCAATCACCACCCGCCACGTGTGTGTGGGGTGGTGGGGTGGTGATTGGAGGGGGTCTCAATCACTTCCCATTTCAAAATTACCCTTTGATGGTATATTTTTTTAAAAATATTAATTGTTATAATTGTACTTTTTGTGTTATTAATGAATTTAAAAGAAAAACAAAATAATAAATCTTATTATTTTAGTGCTTAATTTTTGAAAATGGAGTAATATTTTAGGATAATGAAAAATAGATAAGGGACTAATATTTTGGAACAAATGAAGTATATTTATTAGTAATATAATAGATTCAGACATAAAAATTCAAAAGTCATCCAATATTTTATATCAGTGGCTCAATTCATTTTATATGTGAATCTCATACTATACTATTTCAATCTTCACCCTATATCACTCTATTCGGAAAAATCTGTCATTGTCCATAGCATTTTTGATATATTTATATAAGGTGTTGGGTGTCATATGCCCAATTATAATATTTGTGATATTTATTTAATTATAATTTATTGTGATATTGGTTATGATTTATTGTTCTACTAGTTATGATCTCTTGTGATTTTTAGTGATTATGATAAAAAAAATGTTTTTAGTTACTCAAATAGTGTTTAACTATGACCATTGGTTATAATTTATTTATGAAAGGTTGGTTACGACTTACCGTGATTGTTATTTTAATTCTGATAAAAAAATCTTTCATCATATATTAAGTGATGCTTATTATGATTTTTTTTTTTCTTTTTGGGTCATGACTAAGAAGGTTATGATCTTTTTTTTTTTAAATAACTAAAAATAATTTAATTATAAAAAAAATATGCGTATTGTAAGGTTGGACCGCAGTTACATGTTGCATTAATGATGTGTTGGTACACAAGGACCACAAAAATTTATAAGGTTGGACTTTCAAATCTGTAATTATTTTTCTAGGTAAATTACATTTTGCATTCTTGTACTTTACACCAAATACACTACAAGAAGTTGGATCTTGAATGACGAAATTTTTTTGTCTCAAAAGAGCTAATTTCGATATTATAGATATTTTCTTTTTTGATCAGACACTATAGATATTTATAAGGAAATATTTTCCTCAGCGGTTTCGTCATTGAATGTTTGTCACTAAAAATCACCGTGACGACAAAATAATTGTCACCTTTGAAATTACTTCAGTGACGAAATTTTTTATCACCAATAAAACAACATTTTGTCGCAAATAATCCTCATTTTCGTCACCAAATAGTTATTCAGTACCATATTTATAATATTAGTTGACGAATAAATTTGTCACACAAATCATTGATAAAGAAATAATTTCGTCACAATAAGATATAAAGTCGACGAAATTTTTCGTCTCCAAAAGTCATACATGGGTGACGAAATATTTCGTCACAAAAATATATATACGTGACGGAATTTTTAGTCATCAAACAACAAAATCAATGAAAACTTTCATATATAAGTTACAATAAATTTTGTCACAAAAATATTTATTAGCGACGAATAATCTCTTTGTCATAATAACAAGTACAAATGACGAAAGAAATTCGTCACTAAACTTGTTCTATATTTTATATTTCAATTTAAATTATTATTTCACGAATATTTCTGCTTATATCCTAATAGCCTTTTAATTGTACTAAGAAATCCACTAACTATTATACACCACGCCACAAAAAAAATTACTAAACAATTTATATTAAAAATCAAAATATATTCATCAAACAACTTCAATAATAATCCATGAAGTATACATAACAAAAAAACCATCAAAACAAATCCCAAAATGAATTAACGTAGAGTCTATAAAAAAATTCAACACTCGATCTTGATTTGCAAGTATGCTTCCAAACGTCATCAAAAACCAATCTGCAAAGAAAATAAACAAGAAAGGCATTAACATATTATCAATTACATTGTATAGATAACTGCCATTGCAAAACAAAGAAATGATACTACCCCATCATAATATGCCCAACTTATCCTTCCATCAACTGTGCTATCTAGTGCAATCCAACTCTTGTCCATGTCTGACTATGCCGAGTTAATTCAAGTTAGGTGAACAGGATAAATTTTATATATAAAAAAATAAAAAATAAGGATTTTAATTAAAAAGAGTGAAAGAATCCATCCAGATGAAAATCAATATTTGATATTCTCATAAGGTGAAATAGCGTGAATGAATGGCATGATGTGAATCTATGAATCCATCCAGATGAAAATCAACCTGTATGCCACCGCATATAAGGACTAATTAAAGAACATTGATCAAAGTTAATACAAAACTGTGGTAGTAGGGGGTTGATAATTATCCAAAAACACGTCTTAAAATAAGAGTCATAATGACAAAAATCACATAAAATAAAATAGACAAAATCTCTGTTTCCCAATGGTTAAGTACATTTTTCTTATTTTCCAGTGTATCAACAGAGAACTACACCAATATGTGAAAATAAAAACACAGATATTTCAGGTTGACATACTGTGAAGACCTCAAAGCCCAAATTGGACCTTCTGCCAGGTGTGGTCAAACATTGCTTCCTATGTTTTTTTAAAAAAAATTGCTTCTACTTGCCAAGAAAAAAGCATGGGGTATTGACCAAAACATTAGGTTTATGATTTAAAATGAAAAAAAAAAAAAAAAAAAAAAAAAAAAAAAAAGAAGTTAAATTTATTACTTTGGAAAAGAGAGTGGGTGTAGGGGGAGCAGGCAAGAGAAGGAGAGGGGAAAGGGGAAAGGGGAGAGGGCTGAGGAGAATAAGCAGCTTTATTCTAACAGTAGTGATATACAAGCTAACAAATTTCATAAACTTTTCTCACTTACATGAGTTGTTCCAATCATGTAACTTTAGTGGGTCCTATTTCAAGTTCCATTTCTACAAGCCACATCTGTGAGTTTGTATAGTATTTTTCCCATTCTAATTTTAATGTTTACCGACCAAAATTTGAGCCTAGACTGTATATTCTCAGGGAAGACAGAAAAATTTCAAGTGAACAAATTATTACCATATTTGTAAATTGCCGTCACAAGACATCCAAGAACTAAGTCAATAAATGTAAATCGGTTATTTCCTTTTGAACAAGGGCCTCCCGAACATTTTCATTTCCTATAAGAGTGGCTAGGTAAGTATTCCCCCTTTCGCACACTTTCATGAATCTAAAGTCCAGAAACCAACTTTACCCTTTTCTGTTTTATATGAAGTTTAATATCAAAATAGAGCACAAGAGAAGATTTTGGACTGAGGCTTCAGAAATCTCTTAATCACCTGAATTCCATACACCTAGATCAGAAATATAACCTCTTTTTTTGGGCTTTCCATGATAAATATATTAGAAATGCACCAAAATAGGTTAAATACAAAGTTCCTACATTGTAAAATTCCAAAATCATCCAGATAGAGATTTTTTTGAATTGGTGATAGACCAAATTGCTAAAGGATCCTCTCTTCTAACATACAGGAAGTCCACAGTATATTTTTTTGGTTCCTTATTTTCTCAAATATAGATACAAATGAATAGTCAATCCAAGCAATGAATGCTCAAGAGAGAGAGAGGAAGAGAGAGAGAGTGCTTACTCACCAAGCACCCCAGGACCCCCATGATCACTGTAAAATATGAAAATATGGTCATTTGGACCACTATCCACAATCTTTCCACTTCCCCCCGTAAGAGCAGTCTTATTTCCATGGATAACAGAAAAGAAGTTAACAATGACATTTTCCGCGGTATAATCCTGCTCAGACAAAACAGCCACCAAATGAGAAAGAAAGAATACAATTTCATTAATTTAACATTGACCTAATGCACAAAAAGGACACAGACCCTTGGCACTTCTTTGTATACATCATCGCCATAGGGACTGTTGATTATGATTCCAGGCCTGGGGTTCTCTTCCTTTTGAGCAATGTCATCATACATGAAAACAATGATGTTTTCATCTTTAAGCCCACCTTTCTTCAGGAGTTGATAGGCATGACAAACATCAGCCTAAAAAAGAAAACTAAAACTATTAGAATCAATAAATGAAAGGGAAAACACATAAAATAAAAGTAAGCCCTGGATTGAACACACATAAATATGTCATGAGATTCATGATATTAAACTGTGGAGGTACATGGAGTCGAGGAAATATATCAACCCCCTTTTACTAGTCGTTAACTTTAGTCTCCTTCCAATCATTATTAAGTAGGTGTTTGGCATGCACTAAAAAAGTGCACTTTTTTTGCATACATACACTTATTTGGGTCACATCAATCAACATCTACATTTTTTTATAAAAAAATCAAAAAAGTACACTTATTTAAAACATCCCAAACCACCCCTAAGAAAACTCTCTGCATCCTTCACCTTTTCTTTTTTTTTTCTTTTTTTATAAGTCATTCATTATTTATTTAAAACTACAATCAATCACTTCCTGCATTCCAGAAACATCAATCATAACCACGTTTGCCACGTCTTGTTCACAAACTAGACAATATATTTGATTTTCTCATAAGGTGAAATTGCGTGAATGAATGGCAAGTTGTGAATCTATGAATCTATCCAGATGGAAAACAGCCTGTATGCCACTGCATATAAGGACTAATTAAAGAACGTTCATCAAAGTTAATACAAAACTATGGTAGTAGGTACTCACTCATCTACATCGGAAAGTGGACAGCAACAAACAAATATTTAACATAATGCAAGTTCGACAAAAATATCCATTGAAAGATTAGAAGAATAACATAGCTAAGCTAAACAACACAAGTCACAATGCTGCGTACGAAATTCAGATAAAGTTATCATGTAGTATGTTGCGTAGCATTCACTAAAATGAGTATAGTACACCATTAAGTAGCCACCCAATTAAAAATAATATATGCATCAACTTCCAACTATTGGGCCCACAGAGAGAGCTCAACTGTATTCGAGGTATGATCAGCATGATTAGTTGAAGGGATCTCCCTCCATAGAGCAACCTGAACACAAAAAAACAAAACACCGATGACTAGTGACAATTTCAATTGGTATGCTATGCAAATAGTTTGGAGCACATATCATCTAAATTAATCAGCAACTCCATCTGTCATCCTGTTGTTAAGTGAGGAAAAGTAGAGAACAAAAAAGCACATATAATCTAAGTCATATTTTCCTGCATCAGTCAAACAAGCCGGAGGTTTAAAATTATGCCCACAAAAGGAAAAACAGAGGATTATAATTTATAAGCTTCCTTACTTTTTCCCTCAAAAGCTTCCCCCTGGAACATTTTTCTCCCCAACCAAACAGAGCATCAAGCTTTCACAAATTTTTGTTGCACCAATTTGCATAAAACAAAGAATTACAGCAATTTACAGGAGAAATAGAACCAGTACTTTTTTAATACTAGATATATAAACACTTCTAGACTACTAGTTTTTGTCTGAAATACCTACATAAACTGAAACCATGAAGTTTATTAAATTTTTACTAATTCAAGCTCATTCTATCAAACAAGATTATTAGAAAAATAGACATACCAAACCAAACCCTTGTGTCCCGATCAATTGGGGGTAAATGCTATATACTCAATTAGTAAATATTTTAATATATATATAAATATCCCACTGCCAAAAAAGAGTGTTTCCTCTCTTATCAAATGCAATGATAATTATAATGTATAATTCTCTATTATAAGCAGTAAATGGGCAGATATAGGGTCTTGATCACCAATTCACCATAAACTCATTTCCAGGCACTAACTTTGAGTTCGGAATCAATTTACCTATTACCTGTACAAGTGAAGTCTTAAGTGCCAAAATCTGGCACTTGGTAAAATACTTAAATCTAAAGTTTGCAAGAATACGCAGGTTCATAAAGTGTATGTATATATATAATTGTAAGGTTAATTCAAGTATTTATTTATTTATTTATTTATTTCAGATTGAATTTAAAGGGTACTCTTATTAGATTGTTAGAAGTGGGCATATTAGTTTATTATTTTCATTTGCTCATTTATTCTCCATCTGTACCATAGTCATATTCACTCAATATGAAGAGTTTTTAAAATGAGTATGCAAAATGTCTTAGCTTTTGGAGTTGGAAACTTTTATGTTTCTTCAGATGGGCAGATGCTTTGGAGACTGCTCACTAGCCTCAAAACACTTAAAAAAACCTAGAAATAATTTACAGTAAAATGTTCATGTAGTCTAATGATTCCTTAAAAGATATCAGTGACGATGAGCATTTGTCAACCATTTATAGGATCACAAAAAACATTCAAAATTGGTGCAAGAAACTTATGTACTGGACCTCACTCCCTTGAACTTGTAGTTGTTGATCCAGTTTGAAGTAAGAAACTTGTCTACTTGACCTCATTCCCTTGAACTAGTAGTTTTAGATCCATTTTGAAGCTAGAAACTTGTGTAGTTGACCTCATTCCTTTGAACTTCTAGTTGTAGATCTGGGCTCTATAACTTATGGAGCTTGATTCCTCAATTAAGTGTGGATTTGACAAATTAGACTTCGTAAATTTCTTATTAATAGTAATTCTCCTAACATAAACGTTGGCTGGAGTTGCCTGAGATATATTTTTTTCTAGTTTAATCTTTCTTTCTGTCAGTTAACTGTTCAGGTTGCTAAGATTGCTGTACCTTAGGTTGTCTAGACTTGGCAATTGTCTACCATTTGATGTGCTTGTGCTACTTTTTCGACACAAAGTGGTTAATCTTAGATTCTAGTTTGTTCTTGCTGCCTAGATTAATGTGATAAGACTCTTCAATTTTTCATGTGTGTTCTCTCTAAGATTACTTGGTACAGAGATAGTTGTTGGCATTCTCTGTACAAGCCTAGCTCTCCTGTTGAGGTGATTTAGAAAAGAATTGTCAATCCTGTAAGGTTTCGAATTCTTTCTATGAAGAACTTTAATAAGAATGCCACTAGTGATTGGTTTATGGACAGATGGAGGCTCCCTTCCTCTGTACTGAAACTGGGGTGATTTCTTATGGCTATGGCACTAACGCTCTGAATCTTGTAGGCTTGGACTTACTACTCTTGCAGGTCTCCTTAGGCTGTGGATGCTTGTTGGCTGGAGCTGCTCCTTATTTCCTCTAATGAGCTTCTTTGCAGGTCCTGCTGGTACCTCTTCAGGGATGCTGAGGGTTGAGTAATGTGATATTTAGGATGAGCTTCTTTGCATTGTTCCCATATGTTTATCTAATTGTTTTCTTTGCAGTGTCTACCTAGTACTGCTTCTAGGGAGAATGAGGGTTGAGATTGATGAGGCCAGATATGTTAGGTTACTGTATTTCTTGGATATTTGAGTGATGTAAGTTCCTATATGTGGGTTGAGTGAAAGTGAGCACATATGTTTTTACCAGCCAAAAACAATAACTAAGCAACCTACCCAAGGCAAACAACAAACAAAACAAAGCCTAACAAAAAGATGCAGAACTCAATGCCCCATAAAGAAGCACCAGCAAAGCACTAGTAAACTAAAATAAATAAACCTAATAGAAAAAATAAAACCACAAAAAGAAGAAGCCAACCAAGGGAGCAAGCCTTCTCAGTAGGCCAAAGCAGTAGCCAAAAGCAACACCACAACAGCCAAACAGTAGGCCAAACCAACCATAGCAGCAACCAAGCAAACCCACCAAAGACTGGACATCCAAAAATAAGTAGAAGGACCAACTGAAGACCCATTTTCCTACATCCAGTAGCTAGCACAGTCAAGAAATCAAGGCAAATGGGCAGCAACAAACAAGCAACTTGAACTAGCAGTGCCATGGACATGGATTACCTAATGGAAGATGGGCTATGAACATGCCTAAGAGAAGCTGAGATTAACAAACTAAATCCATGTACAGCCCACATGGTAACGTTAAATGAAAAGAAAACAAATAAAAAGAAAACTCCACACAAGTTTAGAGACCACATAAACAAAGAGAGATGGGGTCTGTGAACTTGCCAACAGAAAGAGAGCTCAAAACAGCTTGCAAGGAGGAACTACTCAAAAAGAAGATGACCACAGCCAACTAAAACAAAGGCAAGAAATAATGG